TAATAAATTTGTTAGTCTCTAAGGTGCCACAAGTCCTCCTGTTCTTCTTTTTGCGGATACAGACTAACACGGCTGCTACTCTGAAACCTTTAAAAAAAAACTGCTTTTAGACTACAGCATTTGTTAAATATTAAATAAAAGTTTGAAAATTTTGTATCTTTTACTCATTTCCATGCATATTTTCTGTTTACCGCAACAGACAACCAGCCCTATTTACATGTTTTGCTATATTGCTGTCCCAAACAATCTGTAAGAGCCATGTATCTTTTCTAATGAAGAATAAACTTCATAATAATTAAAATATTATTCATCATAACTTTTCCCTTATTGTCTCTCAAGTACAGTTATTACTTTCTTATTTTTGGCCATGGCAAAACCAAGACTGTCTATTTTTTGCCATGTCAAGTAACCAATGTTAAATGTAAGGATTGTCAACAAATAATATATTGATCATCTGAATTTATTTTTTTACCCCAGGAGAATTTCTACTTTTTGTCAAAAACCCCAAACCTGAAAACTTTCATCAAAAAATGGAATGGTTCCAACAGGAAAATCAAAACAAAATATTTAGTTTTGAATTGGCTAACCCATGATAGAATATTTTGGTTTGCTAAACCAAATCAAAATGTTTCGACACTTTCAGATTGAAAACTTCCGTTTTCAACTAATAATATTACACCAAAAATTTCAGCTGAATATTTTTGATTTTCAGTAGATCTGGGCAGTTTTCCCATGAGTTTTCAAGATGTTAAAATTTTTCCTCTCTCAAAACAAGATGACAAAGTAAAAATCTGAAAACATTTCTTCAACTGATAACCCAGAAAAAAATCTAATTTGTTCAAATGCAACATTTCATTTGAATAATCTTGGAACATTTTGTTTTGATTTTGACTTTTTAAAAAATGTTAAACTTTTTTTAGTATAAAATTTTTAGTATACAATAAATATATTGTCCTATTTTGACAATTTTAAAACTTTTTCAGAGTTGTTTGTTTAGTTAGATTAACCAAAACTGACCCTTTCTTGGGAACAGGTTCAATTAAATGACACTTTCTAATTGAAAAATGTTTCATTGGCTGATATTAGAACTGGTCGGGAATTTTCTAGTCTCCCCATGATGTTTCAGTTTTTGAGTATTCTATTTTTTGATACAGAGGTTGGCGTTTTTCATGGAAAATAAGAACTTTACATCTATTCAGTAGAAAACCCAAATTTCCATGTAAAAAAAAAGTTATGCATTTTTCAACCTTCTACACTAATTTCGCTAATGGCCCAAATTCATTTTTGCTATAACTGTACTGAAGACAAGGGCATTAAGCCAAACAGAAGAGCAGTGCAGTGGGCTGGGAGATAGGAGTCGAGGGTTATATTCCCAGCTCTGCCAGTGACCTGATGTATGACCTTGGGCAAATCACTTCACCTGTTTCCCCTCTCATCCTTTGTTAAATTTAGATCCTAATGTCTTTAGAGCATGGACTGCCTCTTACTTTGTGTTTGTACAAGGCCTAGCATGCTAGGGCTCTGATTTTGGTTAGGGACCTCCTGTTGTTGGTTTAACACAACAATAATAAATGGTATGTTGTGATTGGCCTGTTTACTTCTAAGCATGAGACTGGATAGGAAGCACCCTGATAGGGAGAAGGGTGAGCAACATAGCCAAATCTCATGGGGAGTGGAGTTGGTAGGTACTGATATTTGGTCACTGGCAATTATGTGGGCTCCTAGCTTAGACAGGTACAACCCAAATATACTCCAGAGTGACACTAGATTCTCGTCTTTCTGTTCACATCTCACTTTTCTTTGTTAGAATCCATCCCTTTGCCTTCCAAATGGCGATGCACAGCACTGATTTTGGGGATCCTCTGCCTGACGCTGCTGGTAACAGCAGGGATCTTGGGTATCCAGGGTAAGTATTTACAAGGAAAAAGTCTAAGGGACAGATTCTGCACTCACTGGCACTGATGAAAATTTGGAGTTAATGCCACTGACTACAGGAGAGAGATTCTATATTTACTCCAGTGCAACTGAGAGCCATTCTCCTTATAAAACTATTTAATATAGTTCAGTGATAAGTAAAAATTCAAATGCAGAGGGGTGACTTTCACCCTAAATAAATATGGTTATATTTCATTATACAATGATCCTCTGACCCACACAAAGGGTGTGGAAACTACCTATATCTGCCCAGCTGGGAATTCCACTAGCATAGGGTAGCATCCATCATAGCTCTTCCTTGCAGACCTCATGAAAGTGTGTGTCAGGGGCAGGCCAGCTGTTCCTAGATGGCAGATGTTCTCTCATAGGCCCTTCCCAGCTGAAGGAGTTTAGACAACCCCTGCAGGCTGCATATCTGGCATAAAGCTAGCTGGAGAATTGGGCAGCTGTAACCAGCTCCTGGGCAGCAGATGGCATTGGCAGAAAATATGTGCCCAGGTAGAGTGGTTTATCAAAAATATTTCATAATAAATAACACATTTTTATTTTAAGAATGCGGCAGTTGTTTTAAAGTCCTTTTGGCGGCAAAAAGACTATGAAAGAAACTTCTGTTTCTCATTCCTCTATAATGCTAAAGTTTGTATACTTACTGTATTTTTAAGAGCAATATTGTATTTTCTTATTCTGCTTTTAAGTGACTCAGGCATCACATTTAGCAAGTGCATCACTGAAAAATCTCTCACAGCAGCTAGAATTACTCCAAGCCAAAAATGCAAACCTCTCAGAGATTCTCCAGCAGCTGACACGTGACAGAGGTAACCATGTGGTGGGACCAGACTAACCTGAGATCTTCCTTGATCAGATAGCTGTTTTTTAGACAAGGGAAATGCAGTAAAGCTAATCTATCTAGACTTCATCAAAACAAGATGGGTTAGGTAATATCTTTTTTACTGGACCAGTTTCCTCAGTGAGAGAGAGAAGATCTGTTAACTCTTTGTTACAACCTTTCACTCTGTGGGGACAGCAAGGACTCAATACTTCACGGGGCATATGCATCTTCTGGGAGGAAGCAATCACTTATCTTTCTTATCCGTGATTGCTTGGAGAATTATGGAGCAGCACTGGCAAATTCCCAAGGGAATCCTCTCTAGTAATATTGAGATAAAAGAAGATCTGAAAGTTGGGTAAAGGAGGGGTGTGTGTGGAATGTTGTCAACATAAAATCTACAGCCAAAATTCTTAGAGAAAATCAAGAATGTGACTGGTGTGGCCAATATGGGTCCTGAACCACCGGAGAAGCTTCAGTCCACCAGGACTTGTTGACCACATTACCTTACCTGATATCCAGACATCCATGAAACAGCAAAATTGGGAAGCTCATTATAATTTGATATTATTCTTGCACTGGATTTTGTAAATCCACTGACAACTTTTCACTGGATAAGATTATCCCATGACAAATTCTGCATGCCCTGCATGTGGGGAGACAGCTTTGTCTACAGACCTAGAAGGCCCTGGCACATCTAGAAACTTTGATGCTGTGTCTAACCTTGAAGGTACATCAGATGTCCCAATATACTGAGGTTAAAAATATTTCTACTAATGTGAGTCAGAAGTCTAATATATACAAATTATCCCTCATCTCAGTCAGTTCCTTCTGTCAGTAGGGACTGAAAAATAATCTGTGCTATATAGATAAAATTCTACTGCTGCTTCTAGATTTCCCATGACTTCATTTATTATTCCTTTGCAACGTTTACATCTTTCTCCACAATTGTTCTTTTAATAGTAAAATGATTTGGCCTGGCCACATACCGCAGCTCTTAGATTTCAGAGTAATTAGATACCGTTGGGAAACTAAGCTAGTGATATAGATTTGAGGGCTTCATTTAGGAATAAACAATCAAATCGGGAATAACTGGCTTGGCAGTGGTACTGCTGGAAAGGATGTAGCAGTTATAAGTTATGTCTACACCGTGTTAAAAGACCTGTGGCTGGCCCAGGTCAACAGACTCAGACTCACGGAGCTTGGGCTGAGGGGCTATAAAATTTCAGTGCAGACATTTGGGCTCCTGGATGGCAATGGGAACATATAAGTCTAATTCTAACCAAGATAATTCAGTTGTACACACCCATACCCACCCACCCACGCATATTTAGTGGGATATGAGGCCTCATGGTAGAGCAGTGGTGACACAGAACAGCCAGTACGTTACACAATATTCAGTATTAATCAGCATCAGCCATGAGCACAGAAATATTTATTCTCTTTTCAAGGCCACAAATGCAACCTTTGCCCAGAGAATTGGTTCTGGTATGGACAAGTCTGTTACCACCTGTCTACTGAATGGAAAACATGGCAAGGAAGTAAAGATTATTGTTCTTCTCATGATTCCAGACTTCTTAAAATAGAAAACAAGGAAGAACTGGTAATGTCTTTTCCTTCTTCACTTACTGTAGATACCAAACGAGGAATGAATGCGGCAATGGGTGTAGGTTTTATATTGCATGTTCATATTGCCACTGATAAAATGATACCACCTATGCATTGTATTCTTGGTCAGAATCAAGGGAAACTTGGCAGACAATGCATTACATTAGAGAAGGTAATAAAAGACATTTAAAAACTGACAGAAGGAATCAATGGCAATGTAATGTGAAAGGTCCTTCAAACCAGTGCTTTCCACTGCCACATAACAGATGTGAGTATCTCACTCTCCTATGACCAGCAAAGGCCAAGAGTGCTCAAGCGCTGTGGCTGCTTACTGTCATTAACCAGGGGAAACACATCCAGTCTTCAGGTATCCATAGGTAGAAGGGCTGTAGCTGTAATGTGAGCTCTTGAATTCTTTGCATCGGTCTTCATGGTTGAGGATATGAGGGAGATTCCCAAACCTGAGCCATTCTTTTTAGGTGACAAATCTGAGGAACAGTCCCAGATTGAAATGTCATTAGAGGAGGTTTTGGAACAAATTGACAAACTAAACAGTAATAAGTCACCAGGACCAGATGGTATTCACCAGGGAATACACTAGGGAGGGGCATGAATGGTCACATGCCCCTCCCCAGATGCCTTGGGGGGCACATTCCAGAGGGGGTAGGAGTGAAGTTGTCCCTGTCCTGTCCCGCCCACCAGCTGTGCTCAGGCACCTAGCCTGCCTGCTTGAGCTCTCTGGAGTCGCTCTTCCTGCTGCTGCCTGTGATTAAGAAGGGGAGCTTCTTTCTTGCAGCAATGGGGCAAAATGAGAGGGCTCAGGGGAGGGAGGAAAGTGAGCAGGGAGGAAGGAGGGTCCACCAAGGACACTGGGGATGATCCTGGGGATAATGGGGGGGACGGGGAGGCAGCATAGGCCAGGGCTGAGGGTCTGGTTGGGGGAGGGGCAAAGAAGGAGCCATGTGGCCAGCCTGGATGGGTGTCGGGGGGGGGGGGGGGGGCAGCAGGGCTAGGGACTAGCGATGGGGGATTTCTGTGTGAGAGAGAGGTTTCTTGGCCTGGGTTCCTCTGGCCACCCAATAAGCTAGACGGAAATCCCTGATGTGCTTTTAGCAATGCACAGGATTCCTTTAAAGCCATAAGGGTAGGAAACAGGTATTTTACTTTAAATAAGGCCCTGCCTAAGTTCCAAATATTGCATGAGTGCAGAATCAGACTCATATTTCACTTCTCATGTGATCTGGGCCAGCCTACTAGTATCTGGTGAGCCCTTAAAACTCCAGTGCATTCTCCAAATGTTTGTTATGTGTTGATATTAAATTCAAAGGAGGGAGAGAAAGATCTTGTGGTTAAAACACTGGCTTCTCTTTATAAGACCTAAATATTATTATTATTTTGCCACAGACTTCCTTTATGCAAGTTGCTTAATTTCTCTCTGCCTTAGTTTCCCTATCTGTAAAAGGGGGATAATTCTTAGCTAAGAAGGGCATGTGATAATGAACTTGTCTGCAAAATTTTGGAAGAATGTGCTATAGAAGGACAGAGTATTTATTAAAATATTAGGAATGAGACTTTAAAGAATGGGTGCTTAAGATAGGCACATAGGGCATTATCTTGCATCACTGAACTCAAGGATACCATTGCCGTTGATCTCAATGGGAACATGATCAGAGCCCTAAATCCTTATAGAGGTTCCTAAGTAAGTGTCTCAGTTTTTCAAAGCACCCATCAGTTTCATTTTTGAAAAATTGGGTCACTTATTTCGGAGCCTAACTGGGGCGCATATTTGAACGCGGGGTGGGGGGGAGTCTTGGTCTGTGTGTCTGGAGGTTATTGCCTTCTTTGAGGCAACAATTATTGCTCTTCGGGCATTTTAAAAAAAATCTGCAGCCAACACTTGTAGAACATTTAAAAGCAATTGTCATGCAAGGGTATGGAACTGAGTAACTGACATGTGAGCCATATCAAGGTAACTTGGTGTAAGTTATTCATTCTTCCTTGACTATGAATACATTTTACATTTGAGTCATGCTTGCAAAATTATTATGAAAATTTACCAGCGAAGGCACAAATTCTACTAACCTGAACTTACAATATTTTAATGAAAGCAATATTTTACTTGCATGCCCCCCGCCCCCACCCCCAAAAATTATTTACCATGCATGTGTGGAGTTTTGCAAGGCAGACACAAGGCAGACTATGGGAAATGCTTCAGGAATGAGTGCTGATTAAGTTAGCAGTTCCAGAGTTTTGTGACTCACAAGTGGCACTCCCTAAATTAGTAGATTAGGGCCCAATCCTTCAAACATTTCCACACTTGTGCAAAGTTATTTCACAAGTAGTCTTATTGAAATCAATTAGAGTAGTGATATGGAATGCAGCTAATGCTGGTACATTGATTACATGTCTGAGTACTATTTGCAGTGATTGTACAATATGGTTTCAATCTAAGGACCCAATTCTGCACTTAATGGAGGAGTAAAAACTTTAGCAGAAGCCATGAAGAAGACTTTGCTGTCTTCCTCTTTAACTGCGATATAGCATGGTTTCTCCTGAGAGAAGTAACTGCTGTCTGCTTGTTCATAACTACACTTAAGTGTCCGTACCACAACTCAATTAAATTGTTTAAAGTAGGTATGCTATTACATTTTGATCTAATATGTATTTAAACACCCATATTTTAGCCAAGCTTTATACCAAAGATTTTTTTCATAATTCATGAAGTAATTTCATCTAGTCATATACCTAAGTGCATTCTATATTAACAGGAAGAGGACATTATTGCAGTCAGCTCAGGAAAGACCTCCACTGACTGTGCAGCTACAGGGGTTAAAAAGCAAACAAAATGTTAGAATACATATGGAATGGAGACTAAATGGAGAGTAAAATAATGCCAATGTATAAATCAACGGTATGCCCTCATCTGGAATACTATGCACAGATTGGATCGGATAAGGATAAAGCAGAAATAGAGGGAGTTCAGGCATAGTTGCTGAGTTTGATCCGAGGCATGGATACGCTCTCATATGTAAAGAGATGGAAAAGACTGGCATGTTTACCAGAGAGATGTGCTAGGATTTTCAGAAGAGCCCCAGGAGTTAGGTGCCCAACTCCCATTGAACTTCAATGGGATTTCAATATCTAACTTTCCTGGGCTCCTTTGAAAATCCTAGCTGAGATGAATAAGAGAGGACCTGATAAATGTGTAGAAAACAATGAATGGTACAGAGAAGGTAAACTGGGAACTTCTGTTCACCTTGTCTCATACTGTGGGAACAAGCGGATATTAAATGAAATCAAAAGGCAAATTCAAACCTTGTAAAGGAAATTATATTTTCACACAATGCAAATCTAGCTTGTGGAACTCACTGTGATCTCATTGAAGCCAGAAGCTGAGAAGGAGTCCAAAAAGGATTAGACATTTATGGATAGTAAGAATATGCAAGTTATAATAGTAATTATACGTTAAAAGAAATACCCAGAGGGATTTTGGAAGGGATATAAACCATTACCATGCTGTAGGGCATAAACTAACCTCTACTATTGGGGAATAGGAGTAAACTTTCCCTGGGGCACCTTAGACCATAACTAACTACTGCAGGGTTTCTTGAACCTTGTTCTGAAGCATCTAGTACTGGTCACTGTTGATGACAGAATACTGGACTAGGTTGATGGCTGGTAATTTGGGAATTCCTATATTTCTGTGTTCCTGTTATTAGAAACAATTATGATAGATTTTTGGAGTCCATCTAGATTTAAATTGAGGGGATTCAGTTTATATATATATATATATATAATAGCTGTTAAATTGACCATGCAATATGAATTCTCTAACCAACTTATATATTAAAAATAAGCAAAACAAAAAACAAAATGAAAATATTAAAATCTTAGTACTAAGCAGCATCTGTTGTTCATCTTGTTAAACTGCCATCTTCACAATAAATCCTGAGTTGCACTGTTTATATTACTGAATGCTGGAGTCAGGGTCAGAAAAGGTGGGTAAATATGCAATTATTTTGTGGATTTCTAATAGTGCACTACAGTGCTGCATTTAATTGTATGTTACCAGCTGCCTCAGCATTCATTTTATTTCTACTTCTTCTGCAAATGAAATATTCTTTTTATTACAAGTCAAAAACTCAGGAGTTAGTGGGATGTTCATGGTTAACAGTAGGCTAATCTTTCTATATAGTTCAGGTATGTTGCTCACTTTGAAACTTTTAAGGTATGGGTCCTCAACCTCATTATAGGCTCACCCTACTTGTGTGAAGAAATATAGGCCTATAATGTTTAACTATGGTTTGAATCACTCTTATGTTCTGTGTATGACAGAGCCATTGAACTTCCTTATGCTACACAGAACAGTTCGTGCACTTGAGTTCCCTTGTGCATCTAGCTATCCCTTCCAATTAAAGGAGGATAGACTGAACATGAGACTTACTTCAGGCCTGAGCTCTATAGAACCTCCCAGTGTCTTGTTTGATTTCAGGAGCTCTACAGAATAATTTTCCAGTTCTAGGTGGTCCATGAATGCCTGTCAGCTTTATTTTCCTCTTGTCAAAGCATCTGTTATAGGGGTACAAATATGTGGTAATTTTTCCAACTTAAAAATAAACCATACAAATTCTTCCTCCTACTAACAGCAGGGAGCATCTCTGCAGACATTTTTCCACCAGATGCTCTTTTTAGGTGTTTCTATATCTAAGGGAGAACACAATTTCCCAAATAGGGAGAGACAGGAATAAATTACTTTTGTGTCCCCTGCTTGTGTATGGACCAGATCACTTGCAGCGATTCTGGAAACATACTTTCTCCTGGGGTCTTTCTAGATCACAAACTGCTTGATCGATAATGATTTGTCAAGTTCCAGTATATACGAAAGATCTAAAGTTGGCTGTAGAGTAATATTTCCTGAAAGCAGGGTTGCAAAAGTGCTTACACTTTTTCTTAAAAAGAAGAACAGGAGTACTTGTGGCACCTTAGAGACTAATACAGACTAACACAGCTGTTACTCTGAAACTTTTTCTTAAGATGGCCACCATCCAAGCCCTGCTTTACACCAGGCCTATGACCGTCAGTCTGGAATTCCCTACAGTTTTAGGAGTCCTGCATTCCTCTCCAGGTGGGCAAAAATGTAGGATCACGGCTAAAGGCACAATGTCAACTTGAAAATCACATTTCTGTCTGAAAATTTGTATCTATTATAGTGACAAGCTAACAAGTAAGATTATGAAAACCAAAGGAAATGAAGGTGTGTGTGCAGGGCTGAAAGAGTCTCCTCTACTTCCCCTCCCCCCTCCCCGTTTGTTTATTTTATGTATTGATAGCATTTTGTGTATACTCAGTTTCACAGTGTCCCTGTAAGGTCTGTCAGCGCTAAAGTTGGGC